CTGCTGACCCACTACAGGCTGACAATACTGGACTCCCTATAAACTCGGACAAGCTAATTGATCTGCAACAGTCAGAGCTTAAAGCAGAAAGTCTACACTCAGGAAGTGAAGAGAACATTGAGGCACTTGAATGGCTACACAAGGGTCATAGTGAGGAGCCAGAAATGTGTAAAGATGTAGATCAGGACTCTGAAGAGTTAGAGGTTGTGGCTGAGAATGAAGAAGCACCGACACCAGGAGCTGAAAATGCAGAGTGGATTGACAACTCACAAAAGATACTAGAGCTGACTGAAAAACTGGAGGAGGCCAGTTGTTTAGAGCAGCACAATTCTGACCAAACAACTTCACAGGACAGAGAACTGTCACCCTGTCCTGAACACTCTGAGTCTGAGCAGCTTGAGATGGCCAAAGAATCAGAGCGGATCCAAGCAGAGGTGTTGCAACCAACAGAACAGCAACACTTTGAAGACTCTGCCCAGTTAGGACAGTCACAACATCTGGATCAGGCACCTCAGATGGAACTGACACCGCAAACTGAAAATGCAGAGCAGACAGAGGAGGCTACTCAGACAAAGCCTGTTTGTGTTGAAGATGAAGAATCTGAAGTTGCAGAACAGCAAGAACAGCAAGAACAGAGGGAGCTAACGGAGCAAAATGAGCAGTCACCGCCAACAACCGACCTGTCTCAGACTGAGACGTCAGATCAGGCTGAAGGTGTAGGGGGAATTGAGAATGGAGATGTACAGACAGTTGTGGCAAATGGAGAGCAACCCACCCCCCCTGAGATGGCTGCACCTCATATGAATGGAGGGGAGGTGGAGAGACAGATGGCTCGCTGCCTTGCTGAACGGCTGTATAAGTTGGACGGGATCCAACGTCTAGACGTGGTGAAGCACTTAGACAAAGAGTAAGCACATATTTTATGTATTTTAAGTCTTTCATTGTTTATAAGGCTGCTGGTGTTATGAGTACTGCAGATAAACCCACACATGGCTAGTGGAGCTGCAGCTGCAGACGGTTTTCTGCTGCTAGGGAGCTGGCGCAGGTGTGTGTAAATGTCAAGCATGGCATCGAAACACATGTTCATAGAGCTGGCTGGTTAACTGTAACATCAATGAATGACAACTATAAATTCAAATAAGCCAGAACCACAATGCTCAGTGTTTCCTTTACAGAAACGTTAACAGCCATAGCTTCACACCTTCATTATCAACAACAGAATTCATAAATCACTAAAAGACGTTTACTACAGTTTTATTGCTGGAGTCTTGTTTTCTGGGCTTTTAAAACAAGTTAAACAAATTTAAACACCAAGATCCAACAACCTGTGCAAATTTTTGATAATTTTTGTACTAGAAGTTTTCATAATTTGTACAATGCTAAAAAAAGAAAGTGGGACTCTTCACTTCCCTCAGATCACACAGTCTGTTTTTCTCTTGAATATGTTTTTAATCTGCCAACCTCAATGTCCACAGGAGGAATACTAGCTCTCAGCTGTGCAACTATAGCTCTTAAACTTATAGATAAATGAGATGTAACATCATTCAGGGCCAAACTGTTGTCTGATATACACAAGATGTTTGACAAGATTAAATGTCAGCAGAAGGTGACCTTTATTAGTTAACATTATTGACTGATTCCTGTAGATATACAATATCCATCTGAAGCTCTATTGCCCACAGACAACTGTTTGACTTATTACACACCAGCACCTTCTTATTTATTGTCCATAAACAGTAAATGGCACTGATCAGATTTTACACTAAGTTTACTTGTCAAAGGGAGGACTGCCCAGCCTATGAAAAGAGTTCTGTATTGTCTACTGTGGCTTTGGAGGAGAAAATAACCCTGGTGGTATATCATAGAACAGAGAGTCAGTGCTAACTTGGGTTTGGCCTAGGCACAGAGAGTCTCGTGAATAATGCTGTTGAGTTGCATTATGGGAAATGTAGTATGCAGTATTTTTGAAATTTGAGGCATACTAAGCACTAAAAGTCGAGATAGCTCAACCTCAGCTGCTACGTTTCTTTTTCACCCCTAACTCCAGCTTTATGGCAGTGCAATACTTAATTGTTGGAATACCCCTTTAAAGAATAACTTTAACATTTAACTTTTCTGGTTGGAAGTTGAAACCACAGGAGACCATGGCTCATTACATCTGGGTATTTTTAATTTTTTTACCGCAGAGTGTGCTACAGATTAAATATAGTCCCCTCCCAGTCTTCACATTTATGGCTAAATGATGGACTTTCTTGGAAGTTGCAACTTGAGTGAGATGATCACTGACTTCCTCCATGTGCTTGGCCATCATGTTCAAGAAGTCACATGATTTGTTTTCATGCTGTGATTTTTTTCAAAAGCCACATTTCAAAGTTGGCAAATATATTGTTGCCTTCTTTATTCCTAGTTGCGTAGAAAATACCTTTTCAACTATTTTGAACCAAAGGTCATTTGGATCTAAAATGATAAAATGGATAATGAAATGTCTAAGAAGTTCTACTTTCTTCCCTCCTTCTGTTTAGCAATGACTTCAGTCGTACTGTTGGGGAGGAGTACCTCAAATTTTTTGACTTCACCGGCCAATCTCTGGATCATGCTTTGAGGTGAGAATTTTAAAGGTGCAGCTAATGGCATCTATTACAAAACACAGACTCATGCAACATCTCATAATCTGTGTATTTCCTTTTGGTTTCTTTCTCAGATCCTTTCTAAAAGTGGTGATACTGATAGGAGAAAGCCAGGAGAGGGAGCGTGTGCTGCAGCATTTTTCCTGCCGCTTTCATGAGTGCAACCTCAACTCCTTTTCCTCTTCAGGTGAGTCCCGGTTGCTCTTTAATTTATGTTTTTGTTTCATGCATGCAACATGAGACAGATGTGTGTCATTATCACTGTTTTTATATCCGCAGAGGCTGTATTGACCCTGACGTGCGCTTTGATGCTTCTCAACACTGACTTGCATGGACAGGTGGGAAACATTTATGACTGTAAAAGACATGATTAATGAAACTTGTATGTTTTGTTTTGACATGGCACTGTATTATCAGCTGATCTCTGTGTTAACAGAATGTTGGAAAATCAATGTCATCTTCTAAGTTTGTGTCCAACCTGGAGGGGATGAATGATGGCGAAAACTTCAGCAAGGATCTCCTGAAAGTAAAGCTGCTATTGAAGTTTTCAGCAAACACATTTTGTTGATGAAAAGTCTGTTGATGAAAATGTTATTTAACTTTTTTCTCCATGTACCTTTTAGAGTCTTTACAACTGCATTAAGAGTGAGCCGCTGGAGTGGGCTGTGTGAGTGGACTGTTTGTTTCTCCACGGTCCTTTCTTGACCATATCCCTCACATATACTGTATAATCTCATGTATAATAATCTTCCATTGTATGTTGAAGTAATGAGGAGGAATTGAAGAGCTCTGTGTGGCCGGTTGAAGATTCAGTAGATGCACCACAGCTGCGCTCAAAAACCAACCCCTTCCTGGATATTCCTCATGACAAAAATGCCACAGTGGTCAAAGAGGGATTCCTCCAGAGAAAGCTCCACGCCAACATTGACGGCAAGCGCGGTAAGTGAGACACAAGCATAAATTACTTTATGTATTTGTGCTAAGTGTTTTTTTTTTTTCATGGAGGGCTGTTGCTGATTGTCACGTACCCTCTGAATGTTTCTGTGTTGCAGCACCATGGGGGAAACGAGGCTGGAAGACTTTCTATGGAGTGCTGCGGGGGATGGTCCTTTATTTACAGAAGGTCAATAAGTCAGCTCCTGGTTTTATTGTGTGAACATACGGCAACTTATAAATTATAAACTTATAATTCCCCCTCTTATGTATGTGTCAGGAGGACTATAGGAAGGATCAGCAGACTAACGAGGAGGTAGTGAGTTTGCACCACTCTCTGGCCGAGCAGGCAGCCGATTACACCAAGAAGCCGCACGTCTTCCGTTTGCAGACCGCTGATTGGAGGGTTTTCCTGTTTCAGGCCTCGTAAGTCACAGCACAGCCAGAGTCTGTGTGTGTTCCAAAGCATCCAACAGCCTGTGTCAGAGCACCATTTGTGTCCCTCTCAGATCCAAAGTGGAGATGAATTCATGGGTCAATCGTATCAACCTGGTGTCGGCGCTTCACTCCTCGCCTCCTTTCCCCGCTGCTGTTGGCTCCCAGAGGAAGTTCTTCAGGCCGATCCTCCCTGCCTCGCAGTCTGCTCACACTCTGGTACACACACTCCTATGGAGGCTTGAATTTTTCATCATTTTTTTTTAAACTCGTGTTCTTTGGTACTTATAAACTCGCAGATTCAGTTCCTGGAAAGATTTGAGTAATCTGGCTGTACTGTCTGCCTCAGAGTTATCAGATAATCTTTTTTTTTAATTTAATTTCAAGCCACTGCTTTATGTGTACTGCTGTTCATGGTACAAAACTCATCTAGCTCATGTTTGGATGTGAGCCAAGAAATACCACAAAATTCTTATCATAATGCACTGTCCAGCAGTTTACATGAATTCTCTAAAGTCAGAATTATTTCGATTTGTTTTGTCTTAATAATATCACATGTATTTTTGAGCAATCCCTTTGGTCTCATCAAAGCAAGACTTGGCAAACTTTGCTGAACAGTGGTCCTTGTGGATAATGATGAATGTAACAGTAACACATCACTACACTGACTCACTATTGTCTGATGCATAGCAACATCAAGCTAATCTTTGCTAACATTAACTGGTCATACCAAAGCAAGTAAGACAGTGGCAGCAAAACCAGTGAACTGAGCATTTCATTTCAACTTTGACAACAGCTAATGCAGCAGAGAAAATGAATTACATGATGTATATTTTCAATGATACACATACATAATACTGTAGTGCTCATGAAACATGATTGATGAGTAAGACAGGGGTAGTTTATTTATTTAAAAGGCGCCATACAGATAAACATTGTAACTTACGAATTAGTAGTGGAACAGCTGTAATGCATATAATTTACTTGGACAAAACTTTGTATTTGTTCCTCTGTGGTGCTCCCTGTGCAGGAACGCCAGCTGCAGTCTCATGGAGGAATGATGGAGTCCTTCAAGGCAGACCTGTCATACCTGCAGCAAAACCCCCCAGAGGGCAGAAAATCCAGAGCCAAGGAGCTGGAGGAGCATCGCGTCAGAGCAGAGTACCTGCAGCATGAGGTAGAGGATGCGTTGGGTGTGAAAGTATGTATATGAGTGTAAAAAGATCTGAGTGAACCTGTGTCTCTTATTCAAACCCTGCAGATGTGTCGCTATGAGATCTACATCCAA